AAATATGTTATGTTGGGTGTTTGGATCAGGCTCTACCTCTCATTCGAGGACGAATGATCCTAAGCGGAGGAAAATGTAAGGCCCCGGAAAATTTTGCTAGGCGATATAGGATTTCAGGGTGCCAGGTAGACTAATTGTAATATTTTATGTGCTTTAAATATGATGAAAATGAATTGGATGTGGTGAATAAGTGTATGAGTCATGTAATAAGTGATGTGAGGTCCAAAGGGAAGCCTAAGTCTAAGCCAAGTTGGAAAATTTCATAATAGGCTAAGATTTCAAATGAATACGCACAAGACCTCACTTTGGACGAGCATATATGTGTATATAAGGAGTTGTGGGATGCACAACCTATCAAATTAAAGCTATTTGATTCTAGTTTCCAACGCACCAAACCGTTTGTCATTTGGAGGTGTATACCGAAAGTTACGACCATTTTACTGGGCAGGTGTCGAAGCACAGCCTTAGCGCGGCCTTAGCGCGGCCGCGCATATAGGGAAGTATTCTGCCTCCTTAGCGCGGCCTTAGCGCGGGCGCGCTAGTAGCAGACCTCTAAATACACCTAAGGACGGGAAATGAGAGTATTTAAGTCATTTCTCAAGCCTAGGGCATCCTCTCCATCCCCAATCCGACCAAGGTATCCAATCACACACCTAAGGTGAGTTTTTAAGTGTGTTTTCATGGTGATTTCACCTCTCAATCACTAGTTAAAACAGGGTTTTGATTTGATTTCATAGAATTTCTTCAAAATCTCAAGAACATCCCAAAAGTTGTCTTTCAAGATTTGGCCTACAAGAGATAATCTTTTACCCTTAGACTTACATATATGGATATATTATGGGAATATGAGTATGAATTAAGTGTTGGAACTCTTGGTGTAGTGATGGGAAGCCATAAGTTTTCAATATAAATACATAATTATTGTAGAGATTGAAAGGGTGATTTTTTGATATAAATTGTTGGTTGGGTATGAATGGGTGATCATACATATGTTGTTGGAAGTTATAAATTGGTTAGGAATGATGGTGGAATAAATTGTTAGTTAATGGTGATAGATGGATGAACTAATACTATGGTTATGAGATGAAAAGATTTATACCTACAAGGTGTTTGATAATATGCCTAAATGGCATAAGTTATGGAATTTGTTACGAATATTGGCCCCATTTAATGTTGTATTGTAGATTGAAGTTGCTTAAGTGTATTGGATCATTATAGTATCATTAAGGGGCGAAATTGAGGTACGTATGGCTAACTTTAACCTTTGTAAAGTCAGCTTGTTTGGTGTACGAGTATTTGGCATGTGATACCTATGTGGACTATTTGTGAATTCTTGTGATGGATATGCTTTGAACGTTGTTGGTTAGTTTTGTACGAGTATTTGGTATGTGATATATATGTGAACTATTTGTGAATTCTTGTGATTGATATGACTTGAACGTTGTTGGTTAAGTCTCCCGATATAATGGTGTAAATAAATGGTAACAAACCAAGTGTGTGTGTGTGTGTGTGTGAATGTGTTTATGTGGTAAAAGCTGTGTAACAAATGAGGGAACGAAATCGTGATTGATGCAATTGAAACAACTGTGGTAATATCATATGTGACTTGTCGTGGGCAATTATCGTTGTGACTTAAATTGTATGCGGGATGTTGTATATGATGGAAATGGTATTGATGGTTATGAAAATTCTTTGTGATTTGTTGTTGTTGTCGTGTGAAATGTGATTTGTTGTTGTTATTGTTGTTGTGTGAAATGTGATTGTTCGGTGGGATCGGGTTGCGCACCGTAACACGAAGTAATAAGGTGTGGGTTGTGGTGATAAGGGTGGCCAAGGTAATAAGGGTGGCCGAGGTAATAAGGGTGGAAAAGTGATCGAAATCACTATTGAAATGAAAATATGAGAAAGTTGTGAAATCATTGATGTGATGAAATAATGTTGAAAGGGGAAAAGGAGAGATTGTGAAACTTGTTTGGCTTTCGTTGTTCCTTTCATGTGCATTTGATTGTTGATTCTATTACTGTTTGTTACCTGTGTATTGATTGATTCTATTTGGGGTAAAGTTTGTATTGTTTGATTCTACTTGGGGTAAAGTTTGTAGTGTTTGATTCTACTTGGGGTAAAGTTTGTATTGTTTGATTTTACTTGGGGTAAAGTTTGTTCATACATACCAGTACAATTCAAATGTACTGACGTCCCTTTTGCCGGGGGCGCTACATTCGTGTTATGATTGTAGGTGGATCTATAGCAGGTACTCCAGTCCACCGACAGTAGTACTCCTTCACTTCCCGTCAGCTGAATTGGTGAGCCCCTTTCCTCTCGGGGCCCTGCGTGGCTCATGCCGCTTTTCTTCCCGGAGTCTTATTTTGGTATTTGTGTAAGGTATAGCTGGAGCCTTGTTGCCAGCATTTCCATATTATTCTTCAGTTGTATTTAGAGGCTCCGTAGACAGGTTGTGGGTAGTGTCGGGTATTGGAATTTAAAATAGAAATATTGATGTTTGGCAATGATGTATAAAACTTGTAATACCTTTAAAATGGTGAATGAAGTTGCTAATGAAAATGAAATGGAAATCGTTAATGATATGTTTATAGAATTTGATTAATGGAGTCCATCTCCTATTTATTCATGAATTAGTTTGGGTAGAATGAGACCTAACAGGCTTGCTCGGTCGGGTTTACTCGGTTGAGCGCCGGTCGCGCTCCTCGGATTTTGGGGCATGACATATTCGAAGTTTGATTTGAGTGAAATAGTATGGTTTGACTTGTAATTGAATGGGTTGTCGGATTTTGTGAGTTTTATCGGATTCCGAGGTGCGGGCTCGGGTTTGATGTTTTTGTTGACTTTGGTCTTTGATTAAAGATTCGACCTTTATCAATTGGGTTTGTTTCTTTTGGCATTATTTGATGTTCTTGAGTTGTTTTTGGCTAGTTAAGCTGTTTGGAGGTTGATGCATGCAGGATGGCATTTCTAGAGTATTGTGTGGCTTGCTCGGTATTGGATTTGGCTTGTCCGAGGTAAGTAACACTTTTAAACTTGGTACTGAGGGTATTAACCCCTGAATATACGTGTTATGTGTTTGGTGTTGAGGTGGTGCACATGCTAGGTTACGGCCGTTTGGGCGTGCACCGTTTGAATTGTGACTCGATTAATTCTGTGGCACTATGTGTTACCTAATCTTGTCTTTATCCATAAAATTTCTACGTGCTAGAGTAATTGAGCTGTGATCTATGTTAGAAACCGTGTTTAGGCTATATGCTTATTCTGTTGGGACCTACTGAGGTCATTTCTGTTGTCGAGTTATTTGCTTAAATTGCATTTACATACCCAGTCATATTCATTAACTTATATATCATATCTCAGTCTCTGTTATCATTTGTTGTCATGTCATGTTGTTATCATTATTTGGGCTGATTGGCATGAGAATTGTGAGCCCGAGAGACTGGAGAGATTGATGACTGAGTTGGTGACTGAGGGCCGAATTGTGAGTGATATTGATGGGATCGGGCTGTGCGCCGCAACAAGTGTTATTGATTCATTATAGGATGGAGCTGCACGCCGCAGTAGGTATTATTGTTTCACGATGGGTTCGGGTTGCACGCCGCAGCAAGCATATTTGATTCATAATGGGATCCGGCTGCGCGCCGCAATAGGATTAATTAGCGCTTGGGATGGATCTGCCTCTCTGGAGTCTGCACACCCATAGTAAGCACAGTTTCTATTGATTCATGATGAGATCGGGCTGTATACCACATCGGGTATCGTACAGTGCTGAGTGACTGAGTAAGCTGAGTATTGAGCGTGATGAGTGGGAGTGCAAGACAGTGAGATTGAGTACTCTAAGAGTGTGAGTACATAAGTTTATCACTGTGATGCATTGCATTTGACATGCATACTTGACATACTAGCATAGAAATGCATTTCCTCATGCTACACGATTCTAGTGACATTCATGATTTCACGTGCACATTGACATGTAGGCAGAGAAGTACTTTCGTCATGCTATCTCATAATGAAACATCTTATTTATTGTTGAACGTTTTGGGATTAATCATAGATTTCTAACTTACTCATATTTTGGTGATTTCGGTGGAAGATTTGGGTTAAACTGTTATACTTGAGAAGCATGCCTATTTTTCTGTAACTCTGGACGAGCTGAGCATCATATCTTTGAGTTGCTTCTTGTACTAGTTTTATTATGTTGTTATGAGTTGTTGTTAGCCATTGGTGTTGGACTGGACCGTTTGTCCAAGCTAGTCATTACTTTCAACCAAAGGTTAGGTCTGTTGCTTATTGAATACGTGGGGTCAGTTGTACTCACACCACACTTCTGCACCTTGCGTGCAGATTTTGGATGCTGATGTTGTTGTGTATGGCGGGAGCTGGCATTGAAGACGTTCCTGCGTTCCGATCATAGCTGCCACTTGTTCTTGGTAGCTCTAGAATTATTAATCTGTTCATGTATACTTCAAACAGATGATGTATTTATTTCGTACCAGCTTTGTAAACTCTAAATCTTAGAAGCTCATGATTTGTATTATCAGTCCTCGGGAATTCTTTGTATAATAGTCAGTTGTACTATAATTTCTTCTCATTTAAATTGGTTTATTGTTGACTGGCTTACCTAGCGGGTTGGGTTAGGTACCATCACAGCTAGTTGAATTTTGGGTCGTGACAGTTTAAGATTTTTAAGTTGGTTAAATATTTTTTGTTAAATTAATAAATATATAAATTTGTTGGTATAAATTTGTTAATATATATAGATAAAACTCTAAAAATTAAAAGTAAATAGTTTTATTTATTTACAAAAATTTCCATCTTTGATTAAAAAAGGGCTTTAATGACTATTTTGAGGTCACATGATGGCTAAAACTGAGTAGCGAGAAAATTCTATTTACCCGTGCCGATTATACAAGTGGTTACTATACTCTTTGACTGAACCCCTTTATATAAAATTCTGGGTCCGCCACACCTCTTCACTTTGTAGGAACATATAGAAGAAACATAACACAATATGATATGTTTAATTGACCTCACCTCCTCGCCAATAAACGGGACAGGTCAATACATAGAACGTTAAACCAAAGAACTGCAGAATCATCTTATCAAGTTTATCTTTACATATAAACATATGACAGCAACATAACACATAAGGGAAGTCCAATATGTAGCTTATATTTAAGTTCAGCTCAAACCATGAAGAACCATTTGAGGATCCAATTGCCCACTACAATAGCTTGAAGAGACAGCAACAATCTCTTGACAGCATTTCCATTCTTGATGAGGTTTCAGCTCAATTGGCTTTTCAAAGGCTGCGGAATCTACTAACATCATAATCTTGTAGTCCTCCACTCCAAAATCAGGAATAGCCTTAGGTATTTTGTCCCATGGATTCCAAAGAACTGTCAGTCAAAATGAAGATTCAATATAAACTACAGAGGGAATACAATGCCCAAAAGACACAAAAATAAATAACTAGTTAACAGATTTTGCAGACCTGTATCTGGTAGGCCTTCCTTTCGCAGAACGAAAGTTCTCTTTTTCTCATGGTCTATAATGGCAACTTTTGGTGGTGTACTCAAGTAAACACGATGCACCTGACACACAGTTAGCAATATTCAGTAACGAGAAATCCTAGTTTCTCACCAAATGCTACACACGAGAAGAAATTTAGATTAACCAGTCAGCAATACTTAACTTTTACAGACTTTAACGCGAGAAAATTTAAGATCAAGCAAACTTAGCCTATCAATCAGATACAGAGAAATATACCTCCCCGTCAAATGTAATAGCATCAGCTTGTTCTGTAAATCTCTGCCTTTGCAACAAAAGATCCAAGTAGTCAAGTGTCTCTAGACCTTCAATGCGCACCTCACTACATTCAACATGGTAAAATGTTAATGAATAGCATGTCTTTTAAGCCTAATTGTAAAGATTATACGATGACTACGAATACAGCAACATAAGTCACTTCTCAGACCTGATATCGGAAACTGACAAGTAATTTCTTAGGCCAAACGTAAAGGAAAGGGATTTGTTATCAGTATTCCTGACAGAGGGTATCAGCTTCAGCCTTCCAGGACCCAATGATACATGAAGCCGGAGTTCAAAACTGCATGAGATCACCATACATCACCATAAAATGCAGTGATCCTTCTAAAAAAGTTTCATTATTTGGTAACCACAATCATCACCTGAACATACCTACAAGGCCAAGTTTTCAAATCTTCCCCGACTGGCTGAAAGATGAGGTCAATAGATGACTGGCTTCCAGAGGAAGGTAGATGCAAAGGGCTACTATCTAATGACCACAGATTCTGTCTCACCAATCCATGCTGCAGAACATGCCCTGTAGCACCAAGCTGCATAGACAAACTATATCTCTTGAATGAATGCATAGAATCAAGAAACAAGATTAATAATAAATATTGGCAAGTGATCTCACCTGTGAAATTGAAACAGATATCCCGCCCCTATTTGCATTTGGAGATTTTGCAAGAGCCTAAAGAATGAAAAGGCACCAACATGTAAGATAACGTTATCACAGACCTCAGCGGCCACTTAGATAAATATCTCGCTGATTAATGAAGCATCCGATATTCATACGTATACAAAATGGTGTATTAGTTCTTGCCATCTTCTGACAAAACTAAGTAGACAACCATTTGCGTTTGCTATAAAAAAAAAAAAACACTTTTTAGCAAGCAACATGGTGTGAGAACGAAGGTAATGCAGGCCACTTTGTAGTTGATGTTAGAAAGAAATACATACAGGCTACAAGATTTAGGCCAAGAACACTTGAATGCAGCTGAAATGTATACACAAAGAACTATTAAATGACTGTAATTCACTGTATGCAATATGTGAACTGTAAATATAGGTTATGACAACGAGGAAGAAGCATATTCAGAAAACACATAGGCTTTGTTTTCTCCACGCAAGCTACAAGTATAAGCATGTATATCTTGGTGACTCCTTCACAATTTGTTTTCGTCCTCTCACATATATAATTGCTTAGAAAATATAGCACGAAAAGACAATTGAATATGACCATCCATGCTGCATACCTTGGCACTTTTGAACAGTAGTTCTTCTCCTCGTTCATTCTTCCATGAGACAACTTGACCACCATACAAGAGTACCTATTTATAACTTATTAAAGTGGAGTTACATATACCAAACCATATAGAGAATCTATCTGGTTCATGATACAACCAGCAGTCAGCAAATATGACTTGATGTTATACTTCACCCAGTACCATACGGCACGCACTAGCCATAAGCCTGAGTGTCACTTCTAGTTCAAATGTTCCAAAAGCAATACAGACTAGCTGGTTAAACTAAAAGCCCTGTTATGCCACATTTTACGCTCTCTAGAAACTTGAACAAGATATTCAAGGAAAAAAGAATATGAAAAGTTTGAGGAAATGTGTTCTTAAACCAAACTAAATATTTCAAGCCTACCTCAAACGGGAAAGTTGTTCAGGAAAATACCAAAGAAGCTGCGATTAATGTTTCAGAAGCGGTTAATATGCAGTTGCGTCTATATGTTACCTTTTGCATCCAAATCGAGTGGGAAGAAACAGGAGCTAGTAGGAACTAAAGAGGAATATAGCATAGTAGCTAGAATATTTGGAGTTCTATTGTTGCTATAGATCTTTTGTCTTTGAGCTGAGGGTCTCCCGGAAACAGCCTCTGTACCTTCCGAGGTAGGAGTAAGGTATGCATACACTATACCCTTCCCAGACCCCACTAGTCGGATTATTATTGGGTTGTTGTTGTTGTTGTTTGTAGTCAGAGACATAATACAAGAGAATTTATATAAACCTTAACCAATTACTGGTCCCTTGAGATTAATTTCTCTGAATACAAACAGAACTTTATTTTTTATAGAAAACTAAGAACGCTTCATTCAGCGTGGTTATTATCGAGGACATGCTGATGTATACAAGCCCTAGCGTGAAAATTTTAGATTATTACGATCTGAGCCCCCTATATCCATTTATAATGAAAACTTATCCGTTGGCCGGATATGTACCCATCTGGTATAATAATTTTGGAAAGGCAGAATTTGATTAAATTCTTAATCCACAAAAATTTATCATGAATTTCAGAAATATCAAAGTGTAAAGATGTTGCAGTAAGAGAAAGACCTCGGCTGAGGAGCCACCAGGCTCAGACAACAACACACGGGGAAAGCCATTGGAGTCATCTACTACATTGAAAGGCATCTGTTTTATTGGACTGAACAACCTCCACCTTATAATTCTCTTCACCAAACAATCCAGCTACAACAAACAAGAAACAACATGTAAGGAATTCGAAAAACAAAAAAGAACTTGGCCTCAAAAGTACCTGATCACGGCATTAAAATGAAATGGGAAGATGAAAAGTACCTTGCTTTTTATCTGTCTTTATCACAATTGATTTCAAGTTTGACCCCGTTTGTACAAAAGTGGCTGTTTATATACAGAGAACTCTGAGTCATTATCGAGTAGGAACAAAGAAACAAAGGCTGTGTCATCATCTTGTTGGAAGAGAAAGAGACTTTAGAGGAAGTTGAAGAGTTAAAGGTAACAGGAGATCCAAGGAAAGAAGACCCAATGAAGTTGAATTGCTATGTAGTTTGCGTCACTTTCAGATAAGGATGGGAATCTTTCATTCTTCCATTTTCAGGTTGATTGTTTTGGCGAAAAAACTCGTGGATGTAAAAAGTACTCCTATATTTTAGAGTGCGTAGATTCCCCTGAGGGACCCTCCCGCCGTCCAATATAATCACTTTTCCTGGTTTCTTGTGTTTAGCAAAAACTTTTGCATCATTTTTGATGTTTTAACTTGCAAGAGGGGCCGATTTGTGTGGTGTTCAATTTTTCACTTAAATTGATTATGGAACGAATTGGTTCTTCTAAGTGTTCCTTAAATTACTATTGCTGAAATACATTACTAGAATTCCGGAAAAAAGCGATCAATCTTTAGCGACCAAAGTTGGTCTGTGGAAAAAAGCGACCAATCTTTAGCGACCAAACTTGGTCTGTGGCAAAAAGCGATCAACGTTGGTCGCTAAACAAGCGAAAATAATAAAATAAATAGTTGAAACACTTGGTCGCTACTTGGTCGCTAAATTAGTCGAACTGTTGACTGGACTGGTCAGACTTGCTTGGTCAAAGGTTTGCTGAGATTAGCGACCAATGTTGGTCACTAAAGTGGAACCCACCTACAAAATTTTAATAATTATATTATTATTTTAAAAAAAAATTATAAAATATAAATGTATATAATATAAAATTGGAGACCAATTTTGGTCGCTAATTAAAGGGTAGGCAGATAGCGACCATCATTGGTCGACAAAATGGGACCCAGTTATAAAATTTTAATAATTATATTATTAATTTAAATATTATATAAAATATAAATAAATCTGATTTAAATTTAGCGGCCAACTTTGGTCGCTAAATTAATTTCATGTATAATTAGCGACCAAAGTTGGTCTCTATTCAGGTCAATAATGGTCAAAATTAAAAATCACTTTTGTATTTACTATCTAAATAATATAAATATAAGTCGTTAATACTTTTGTAATACAAGGGATGAATAGTACTACGAAGCGTGCGTGTGTGTCTATATCTATATATATATATATACACACTTACGCTATACTATGCACTAAGTATAAGTGTATTAGGTAATATTATATCGAATATAGCTTATATATATGTATAAAATATATACTTACGCTATACTATGCACTAAGTATAAGTGTATTAGGTAATGTTATATCAAATATAGCTTATATATATATAATATACATACTTACGCTATACTATGCACTAAGTATAAGTGTATTAGGTAATTTTATATCGAATATATGCTTTTATTATATATATATATATTATTATATATATATATATATATATATATATATATATATATATATATATATATATATATATATATATATATAATATATATATATATACTTACGCTATACTATGCACTAAGTATAAGTGTATTAGCTAATATTATATCGAATATAGCTTATATATAATATATATATACTTACGCTATACTATGCACTAAGTATAAGTGTATTAGGTAATATTATATCGAATATAGCTATATAATCTATAAATATAAACTTACGCTAACTATGCACTAAGTATAAGTGTATTAGGTAATGTTATATCGAATATAGCTTATATATATATATATATATATAATATATGTACTTATGCTATATTATGCACTAAGTATAAGTGTATTACGTAATGTTATATCGAATATAGCTTATATATATAATATATATACTTACGCTATACTATGCACTAAGTATATGTGTATTAGGTAATGTTATATCGAATATAGCATATATATATAATATATATACTTACGCTATATTACGCACTAAGTATAAGTGTATTAGCTAATATTATATCGAATATAGCTTAGATATATAATATACATACTTACGCTATACTATGCACTAAGTATAAGTGTATTAGGTAATATATATGTATATAGCTTATATATATTATATATATATACTTACGCTATACTATGCACTAAGTATAAGTGTATTAGGTAATATTATATCGAATATAGCTATATATATATATATATAATATATACTTACGCTATACTATGCACTAAGTATAAGTGTATTAGGTAATATTATATCGAATATAGCTTATATATATAATATATATACTTACGCTATACTATGCACTAAGTATAAGTGTATTAGGTAATATTATATCGAATATTGCTTATATATATATAATATATATACTTACGCTATACTATGCACTAAGTATAAGTGTATTAGGTAATATTATATCGAATATTGCTTATATATAAATATAATATATATACTTACGCTATACTATGCACTAAGTATAAGTGTATTACGTAATATTATATCGAATATAGCTTTTATATATATATAATATATATACTTACGCTATANTATGCACTTTGATCGCTATTTTGGTCAAAATAGTCAATACTTATTTTGCTACCAAAAATAGCGACCAAAGTTGGTCGCTATTTGTAAATCCAGAATCAAAATCGGGTTTGCCCTCCCAATCTCTTATTTTCTTACCAAAAATTTCCCAAACTCTCTCTCAACATATTCTCCTCCCCTTCTCTATTTCCCTTACACAAATCAATCCCCCTACCCCTTGCCACCACTGTGACCGCGCGCCACCACGCTGGAGACGCTGCTACCACTGTCCGCCGCTACCACTGTCGCCGGAGCCATTGTCCGCCGCTACCACTGTCGCCGGAGCCGCTGTCCCCCACCCCTTGCCACCACTGCTTTTTAATCCTCCTTTTAATCTACCAAGGTTAGTAATCTACCTTCTTAGCTTTTTAATTTTTAATTTTTGCTATATAATTTTATGTAATTTTTTAGAGTTTTTGTCTATTTATTATTAGGGTTTTTGAACTACATTAGATTTATGAACTTAAGGTAGAAATTATGATCTTTTAGTTCTTGTATTAATTTATATTGAATTAAATTGTTAAAAGAAACAATTCATACATTAGCAATACCTAAATAAGAGTACTTGTAAATACATTGTCCTAAATAAGAATACATTGTAAATACTTGAATTAACTAAATTAATTTGTTCTTGCTTTATTTATATAGATGGAACATCGTACTTGGATGTACAATAGGAATTATCCTAATCGGCGGGGATTGCGGGAGGATTTTGTAGAAGGGGTTGATGAATTTATTAGACATGCAATGTCACTTCCGCCATACATAAATGAAGGAGTAATTAGGTGCCCTTGTGTTAGGTGCGACTGTATGAAGTTTGGAAAACCGGAGGAAGTTAAGGTTCATCTTTATAGTAAGGGGTTTATAGCGAATTACTTTGTGTGGACTAGTCATGGAGAGATCGATGGTAGCCATGGGATATTTTATAACATGGTTGTGGGTGAAAGTAGTAGGTCGGTGGAGAATACAAATCGTGATTCTAGAATTCATGATATGGTTGCGGATGCTTTTGGGATGCACTTAGGAGGTGAGCCCAATGGAAATGTTGAACAAACTCCTAATGATGACGCAAAACGTTTTTATGAAGCTTTAGAGGAAGCTAGTCGTCCACTACGTAACGGAAGTCCGAACTCTGAGTTGTCTGTTGTAGTTAGATTACTAAGTATGAAATCTGATTGGAATATTTCTCAAGGAGCCGTGGACTCTTTCATTGACCTTATGCGTGAACTAGTTGACCCTGATATCGAATTACCTGGTGATTTCTACAAGGAAAAGAGATTAGTTTCTAAGTTAGGACTTTCGTCAATGAGAATTGATTGTTGTGAAGATGGTTGCATGTTATATTATAAAGATGATGCAGGTTTGGACAGTTGTAAATTTTGCGGAAAGCCTCGTTTCAAGAGGCTTTCCATTGGGAATATGGTCGCTATCAAGTCGATGCATTATTTACCTCTTATACGTAGGTTAAAGAGGTTATATGCGTCGACGAGTTCTGCTCCGCATATGAGATGGCACTTTGAAAATAGAAGACCACCTGGTGTTATGTGTCATCCTTCAGATGGAGAAGCTTGGAAGCACTTTGACAGGACATATCCAGATTTTGCTAGTGAACCAAGGAATGTTCGATTAGGTCTGTGTGTGGATGGCTTCACGCCTTTTTCTGTATCTGCCACACCATATTCATGTTGGCATGTCTTTCTTACACCTTATAATCTACCACCCGAGTTGTGCATGACTAGTCCATATATATTCTTATATTGTATTATCCCCGGTCCACGTAATCCGAAAAATTTGATTGATGTATATTTGCAAACTTTGATTGATGAGCTAAAACAATTGTGGTACGATGGTGTTGAAACATATGACATATCAACCAAACAGAATTTCATTTTGCGTGCTAATTTAATGTGGACAACTAAGGATTTTCCTGCGTATGGAATGTTGTGTGGGTGGATGACTGCTGGGAAGCTAGCTTGTTCTTACTGCATGGAAAATAGTAAAGCGTTCACTTTGAAATATGGCCGAAAGCAATCATGGTTTGATTGTCATCGTCAATTCTTGCCTCCTGACCATGAGTTTAGAAGGATGAAAAATGCATTCAAAAAGAATATATGATTTCCCACCTCCGATACTTTCTGGTGAGGAAATTTGGGAGAGGGTCCAGAACTTCAGTAAAGTTACTGAAGCTCCACCTTATAGATTCCCCGGATACGGTGTTACTCATAATTGGACGAAATAGAGTATATTTTGGGAGTTGCCGTATTGGAAGGATAATCTTCTCCGTCACAACCTTGATATCATGCATATTGAGAAGAACTATTTTGACAATTTGTTCAACACAGTGATGGATGTTAAAGATAATTGCTTAATTTGTTTTAATTTTCAAAGTATATCTATTCTGTTTATTAACTAAAATTTATGAGTTTTCAGGAAAAAAAGTTGGGGCGTCCGATGAACCAAGATGAGCTCTTCAAGGAGACTCATATTGTAAAGAAGAAGAAAGAGACGGACCAAGAAAGGTGGGTCGAGGGCCGAGCCTCGACTGTACATGTAAGTTTTCACTTTTCATTAAGAATTTTGATTTACTTTTATATAAATTTTGAAATACTAATTCAATGTAATTTTTCTTATAGGGTCGCTTCACAGATGAAGTGGAGAAATTCATACCACCTAATGAGTCGGGCGAGCCAATCCAACTATCGGACGAGGATGCTGAGAGAATGTGGACGCAGGCTGCTGGCGGTCCAAAATGGGGGAAGGTAT